TAAGAGATGTTTTGAGCAATGTAAAGACAAAAGTTAACACGGTGTCTATTTTTGTTTAACAAAATTCCCTGCTTTGTCCAAACTTTTCACGGTTTATCTCTTTTTTGTCAAATTTAAATTTACTTGATTTTATCCATAAATAAATCTACAAATGGCTATAAAAATTTACTTATTTTATGAAAATACTGTTTCTTAAGTTCATATAAATATAGATTGTATTACTTGCTGTCGTACAGTTTTCTGTTTATACTAATACATTTAACTGGGTATCTACCAAACGGGAAAAACTGTAAAAAGCTGGGAATATGCCGAACCGGGAATTTTCCTATCAAATTAAGAAAAAGTTTCATTATATTAATTCGCTTTTAAAAAATTGCTTTTTACTTCAATTTTTATTGATGTATAATATTTATGAAAACAGACCCGAGTCAAAATTTAAGCTCTACTTTCAGCCTAAAATTTAGGTCTTATGTTAGGTTTTAGCAGTCGTAACGTAGGGTCTACTTGCGATACAATTTGTTCCAATTAGACTCTACTATAACTCCAAAAACTGTATGGAAAATTTAATTTTTTTAATACATTAATTAAAGTACTACAAATTGATAAATATTGTTCTCTGCATTTGAATTGGTTAAAATAACTAATTTGATAACAAAAAGTCAATCACTGATTCAAATAGTAATATTTTCCTACTAAAATAGCTATAATGGTAACTAATTATTATTTTTTTCCGGTCAAATTAAATTCCCTAGCTATTTCCTGATTTTCCAGATTGGTAGAAACTTAAATGTATTGGTAGAAACTAAAACCCGTCGAAGACGGGTACGACAGCTAGTAGATAATAAAATTAATCGTAAGAATTGAATTATTTTTATAAATATTAAAATTCTTTTTTGGAATTCAATTATTTTAAAACATTTCAATAAACTTCTTCCCAAGAATTCAATTATTTTCAAAAGTTTTTATAAAATTCTTCGCAAAAATTCAATTATTTTTTGAAAAAAATAACATTCGTCTGAATAATTCAATTATTTTAGAAAATTTTAATAAACTTCTTCGAACGAATGAATTCAATTATTTTCATAGACAGTAAAATTATTCACAATAAGAATTCAATTTTTTTTTCATAAATAATAATAAAATTGTTCCAAATAATTCAATTATTTTCAAAAGTTTTTATAAAATTCTTTGTAAGAATTCAATTATTTTTTAAATAATAACTTTCGTCTCAAGAATTCAATTATTTTCAAAAATTTTCATGAAATTCATCGTAAAAATTCAATTATTTTCAAAAAATTTTTATAAAATTCCTTGTACGAACTTAAATTTTCTTCATAGCAATTGGATTTGTATTTTTGCAACCTTATTTTTTACTATATTTTTATCTTTTTTTTCCCTAAATAATAAAATTTTTGCAGGAATCCAATTATTCAATTATAATTTCATTTAATTAATTTCAATTATTTTGAATACAACTTTAAATAAATTCTTCGAAAAATGCAATTATTTTTGAAAATTTTATTAAAATTCCTGAAAAGAATTCAATTATTTTCAAAAAATTTTATAAAGTTCTTTATAAGAATTTAATTTTACAAAATAACAAAATATTCAATTATTCAATGAATTATTTATTTTTGTTTACAAATAATTGAATTCTCATAGAACTTTCTAATAAGAATTGATTTAAAATTGAATTACATCAGTTAAAATTATTCTGTTTTCGAATGTAATTTTCAAATTTAGAAATTATAGAAAAATTGAGTCAAAATTTAATTTTTTAGTAGCAATTTTTTTTCTACTTTTCTTCTACTTTTTTCTACTTTTTTCCTACTTTTTTTAATCTTAAAGATACTTTTTGCTACTGTTTCAAAATTAATTATCGAGTACGAAGCCTGAAATACTTTTTAGATATTCTTTTAGATGTTTTAGATGTTTTTAAATGTTTTTTTTAATGTTCTGTTAGAATTTTCTGTTAGAAATTCAGACATTCCGACAGATTTTAAATGGGTGTGTGAAAAAAGTTTTTTAAAGATGTGAAAAAGATACATTAAAACAGAGAAAAGGTATTATTTTTGGTTCATAAAAAAGGAAATATTCCGTAAAATTGAGACTATATTTATTTTTTGTCTAGAACATATTCGGTTAAATAAAAGAAAAATCCAAATCCTATTAAAAAGCGTTGAAAGGGGTTTTTGTAGAGAATTTGTTGTGAAATTGCTTCCTTCCGAAATTGGGCTTTTTAGATAAATTGCAAGCTTGAAAGACTCGGTATGTTACACACACTGAGGATTAAAAGCCTCGTACAGAAACCGAGGCTCATTGCCATGATTCATAAACGTATATAGTTTGCTCGCACTCATAATCGTGGGAAAGTACACTGCAGGAACACGCAGATATATTTTTTCGCGAAAAGAATCATATGCTTGCTCTTTCTCTCTCTCACTCTGAGATCAACATTTCTCGAACAATTTAGAAAAAAAAATCTAGTTACACACCTTTACGGATTTTTTTCTCCTTTAACTATTTTCTATTCGTATAATGTAATTTCATTACTGATTTTTTTTTTTTTAATATTGTTTAGGAATTTATGAATTATTCTTTTCAATTGAAATTGGAAAATGGGAAAAAATTGTAAAACAGTAAATTGTTGCATTTTTCTAAATAATATTATTACAAAATAAGGATAAGTCTACGTTTGAATCAAATACTTTAAGTTTGTTAAAATTTTGGTTAAGTTTAATTCGAAGAAAAGAATTCGAAGAAAGAATTTAATTATTCAAAGGAAGTTTTTAGTTGAAACAAACAAATTTTTGATAGCAATGCTCATCGAACCAGAATTTTTCTGTCTCAAACAAATTTTCTTCTGAGTCTAAATAGTATATTGATAATTATTTTCTATTTTCAAAAAAACATTTACGTTAAATTATTCGTTATAAAGGAGAATAGTGACTTTAGGAAAAATATTATTCGAATCTTTAATGTTTATTTAAAAGAGATGAAATGTTATTTCATAGTTTTACCGTTAATTTCACATGTGCACTATCATTTACTTCAATATTTCCAACCAGTCAATAAATCAATAAGCACCAGAAATTTCTAGATTAGAAACTTGTAATTGAGTTTTGCTCTCTGGCTTGTTATATTCTTGCAATAAAGGAATTATTATACAAGAGAAATCCGAGGAAATTATTAATGATCATGTTAAATGTGAGAGGTTTCAAATATATTGCATATATCTTTTTTTTTCTTCTTCAAATTCTCTCCTCACTCGGGTAAAACATTTCCTTTTTTTGTTTCTGTTTCCGTTTTTATCAGAGTTGCTTTGTGAACGAGTGAATAAAAAAAATGAATTGCTAACAAATAGAGACAACTCGATTCTAAAAAAGAAAATGTTCGTGGCTTCAATTACACTTGAAAGGTCTTTTAAAACTAGAAGGTTTTCAAATTAGAAAGGTCTTAAATTTGAATATCGTTCGCTCTTGAGGGCTTTTAAATCGAATCCCTTTCAAATTTTAAATTCTTCTCAAGTCCTTTACTCATATATTGGAGATCCTTTAATTCTTTGAAATCAGAAATCTCGGGAAAGTGGAATCTGTTTTGCTAAAATTACTATTTGGAAAATTTACTTGTTTATATATGTTTGAGTAAATAATTTGAGGGGAGTGGTGAAATTTGAAACTATGGAAATTTACGTTGTTAGGGTTGTCAATTTATTTTCTAACGCTACTAATTACGTTCCTAAACTTTTTAAGGTATAAATGAAGATATTTTTTTTTGTTATTTAGTTATTTTATTTTTATTTATTTATTATTTAGTTATTTAATTCAATTTGAATTTTATTGCAGAAAAGTTTGCTGTTCATTGAAAAAATTCTATTTATTAACTTTTCAAATTTTGTTATAGTAGAATCCTAAATTCTTGAAAGCTTCAAAGAACTTCTTTTTACAATTTTTACAATTTTTTATTGACAATATTTATTCTCAGATTTCTTGAAAGTTTTGAATAATAATTCGTATCGATTTTGCAAAATTTAGCTTTTTGCCAAAAATACAATAAAAAAAATTCTAAGAATGTTCTAAAAAAATTTATTTTTAATTTAAATTTTTACTAATTTAGAGAATTTTATTACATTTAGAGAATATTGAATAATTTAGTTCTTGCATAGAATTGTACTGACATTTTTTTTAATTCTTCTAAAGTTTATCAAAATTTTTGTAAATAATGGATTTTTCTGATTAATTTTATTATCCATCAAAATAATTTTACTTTTGCAATGAATTCTATTTAAATTTTTAGAAATAATTGATTCGTTTCCTAAAATTTTATTAAAAAAATTTCAAAAATAATTAAATTCTTAAGCATTTTTTGAAAATTTTAGAAAATAGTTGAATCATTTGGAATTATATTATTATTTCTGAAAAAATATTTTTTACCAAAGGGTGGAGGCTATTAAATAAGTAAAGTATTTTTGAAGAGCCCAAAAATAATTAAGCAAAATGCCATAAAAAAGAAAAAAAAATGTTGAATTTTAAGAAATTCGGTTTTTTGAATTTTTGATAATATTGAATACTTGTTAAGAATTTTGTTATCTTTGAAAATAATTGAATTATATTTGCAACAATTAAACAATTAAAATAAAATATTTCGTAATTTGCATAATAATAATAATTTGCGTGAAAAATATTCATTGAATTAGAAAAGGCTTTAGTAATCATTAAATCATTCTAAAGATTTGTACCTAGATTTTGAAAATAAAAATAAAATTCTCTCTAAAGTGAATTTAGATAAAATATAAATCTTTTCAAGAGAAGAAAAGAAGTGTTTGGTTTCCGAGTTTCGTGAATATATATATACACAAGCTTTTCTTTTGTAGAGATTTCTGATATGTTGGTGGGAAATAAAGTGAGACAGGAGAAAATTGGCCAGAAAATAGAGGATGACTGCTGGATGCGACAACAATCTAAATCTAGTGTCGAGAGAAATGCATCGGTGAATCTTACCTGTTGAAGATCTCCTTGAGCTCGTGCTCGGAGACGAATTGACCTAGGTTCGCCACGAAGAGGGTTGAGCAGGGCGCATTACTGACGGCGATGCTTGGCTGCGACGACGAGGAACCTACCGGTGACGCCAATGCTGGCGATGGTAAAAAGTGCGGTAACGAGGCGTGTATCGACGTCAACGTGGTAGGATGCGGTAGTGACATGGGCGCCTGAAAGAGCAAACACCATTCATAATTAGTTTCAAATTCACAACCAAAAACGCTACACTTTACTTTGCCCAATCAACTATACACACTCTTATCGATAATTATTTCATCAAGACTTGAATCTTCCATTTCAAATTAATTAAAAAGGATTAATTAATCAACTCGTTTCTCAATTTAAACTCAGTAAATAATCTCCCTTTTTCAAATTTTTCCCCATTCAAGAAAAGTCTATTTTCTACAAACTTTTTTTTTACCCAAAGATCCGGAAATTATAGGGCAAGTGTTTGATTATCAGTCCGTATTTCCGTTTCAATGAATTTCAAACAATTTCAAATGAAATGTAATTAATGAACTTTTGCGACTCTAGAGAGGGTTGGAAAAGATTTTTTCTTTAAATGTTGTAACTTTTTTTGTGTTTCGTGTCTTATCGCGCTATCTAAACCCACCCTGATGAATTTAATGAATTTAATGAATTTAATATTTGTGGAAATAAATGTGTTTGTAGTCATGAATATGCACGAGTGTGTGATCTACATTAATGTATTTTAGAAATTAGAAACCAGTATTTTCCGACTAGAATTTCAATATTTGGATATAATACACCATTCGAATATTAACAGTAAAAAATAGCGAAAAGCAAAAATTTATTTTATTCAAAAAGATCAAATTTGTTTCCTGTCAATATATAAAAAATTTTGATTTAATCATACGGTATTCGGTTGTTTATAATTGAAAAAAAATATTGTTTATAAATTTACGTCATCTGGAAATATTTTTCGCCGTAAACTCTTTTTAATTTGAAGCTTCGGTATTTAAATTGTTTATAACTCGAGAGTTTAATTTTTGCCATTTTACATATGAAAAAAAAATAAACACCGGTTTTGAGATTGATTTCAAAATTAAAAGCCAGTGGTGAAAATTGATCACCTTCGCAACTGTGTAAAAAAAGTGAAAAATAATTTCAAACCGTTCAGCGTCTCTACAAAGTTTACAATCAAAATTTTAATACGAGAAAAATATTTCTTCTTTTTAGTGACAGAATATTAGACACGTTTTTTTTTACAATGATTTTTTTCAAACAAAAGATTTGGCTTTTTTTAAATTATGTAAAAATTCACCAGTAAGCGAAAATATGAAAATTTCCGCAGAAAATTGAATAAAAATGGCAAATATTTTAACAGGAAAAAGAAGAAAATATTTTTCAACAATTTTCGAGTTGGAAAAAAGTGCAGTTATGGAATAAATAGTGGTGAATAAATAAAAAGAGTAAATAAATAAAAATTATTATCCGTCAATTGAAATCTGTCCTGAACGATTTTTTAAAAATTCGGAAAGAATCATTTTTCCAATAAAAACAAATTAAAAAATTGACTGCAAAAAAAAATTTAAAAAAAATAGTTTACAAAGTTTCAAAGTGTGTAAACACCTTGAAATTTTTTTTTATTTTTAAAAAAATTAAAAAATTATTGACTGAAGGTGAAAATTAAAAAATAATTTATAAAGTTTCAAAGTAAGCACTTTGTGTAAACACTTTGAAAGTTTATAAATTTTTTTTTAAATACCTGACGCAATATTTTTCCAATAAAATTTGAATTTGGAAAATAAATAAATAAATTTGGTTCATTTGAACATTCGGAACTTTAGGGTCATTCTAAATGCAAATGCACATATCGAGTTCACAAATAAAAATTAAGAATTCATATGAAATAGAAAGATCATGCTAAATAATTTGATCTAATGATCATTAGATAAGATGTAGATATTTTAATCACTTTTTAATTTTACTAATCCAATATCGCGGTGTGAGTTTAATTTTAATTATGCGGAGAAAATGATAATTAGATACTATGAATATTACGTCGAACCGTAAATTGATTATACATATATTCAAAATGATAAGAATTAAATTAAATGGAAATTATGTTATCTGAAATGAGACAGAAGTCCGTATTACTCTGTCATTAAATAAAAAATGAAAAAGAAAATCGAGAAATTACTATAGTAAATTGTTATACATCCAAATATTAATCTGCTCTCTTTTGAATCAGTTAAAAATCATAGTTTTAACAGACAATCAGTGACTGACTTTTTGCTTCTGAACTAAACGAAAAATTAGTTAAACTTGACTAATTGAATCGGTTTAAGAAAAATCTACTGAAACATCAGATATTTTTAACTGACAATCAGTTATTTTTATTTTTTACTAAATGATCAATAGAAATATTACTATTTAAATTACTGTCTGATTTTTTGCTTCTAAATCAGTTACTTTTAACTCACAATCAGTTATCTTTAATACTAAATAATTAATAGAAATATTACTATTTTAATTAGTGTCTAACTTTTAGCTTCTAAATCAGTTATTTTTAATTGATTCAAATTTAGAGTGATAATAAACGAGTAGTCGGTTATTTAAATCAAATTTTTTCACATTTCTTTCGTTTCTCATGCAGAAAAGTGTATTTTTCTGTGTATAGCTATACACTGATAAAATTATATTTATTCATGATCTAGTATGAAAAACTTGCTTTTCGCCACTATTGTTTTACTTAAATCTTTTTTCGATCCGAGTAAATATTTCCTTCACGTATGAAGTTACTTTTCTTATGGTGTAGAAATTATTTTTAGGAATTTTTGCTATCCAAAGTCTCTTCTGCTGTCATGATTTGTTTATAACTTAAGTGTACTTTGACATTTCGGAAAATACGGTTACTAGGTTTTTACTTCGAACAACAGAAGCTAAAATTGACACCCTATTATCAGCACCCATTAAATTTCAAAGTTTAATAAGTTTTTCTTTAAAACCAATATCAAATTTTGAAAAATTAAGTGCTTGCTGATTACTGGGTGCACAGCTTCATAAAAAATATTTAGTGTCAGTTTCATCAACTCCGATTAAAAGTAAATCAATTTAAGTCTGTTTAACCACTCATGATTAGTCGATTAAGGATTTAGGTCCAGTTTCACCAACTCCGATTAAAAGTTAATGATTAAAGTCAGTTCAACCTCCCATGATTGGTCGGCTAAGGATTTAATCATTGATTAACTTTTAATCGGGGCTGGTGAAACTGGCCCTTTAATTTTTAATCGGTGTTGATGAAAGCAGCCCTTAATGTTAAAATTTGATTTCCAAAATTAAGTGGGTGCCAGTTTCAGGTCTGATATGTAATGATGACTTCGATTGTAAATTTTGATTGTAAATTTCGATTGTAGATTTAAGAGTATTTTTCTCTAGGAAATTGTTGTTCGTGTCTAGTGTATCGATTGAATGTAGTTCGTGTTTGCAAGTGTTGTTCGAAATGATTTTTCCCTCAAGCAGTGTACCTACGATACAAAAAGTCAAAGTAAGATTCCGAAGCCTGATTGTAGTATGTACGATTATAACCATCATGTGTCACTAACGTGCATCGGGGCGCTTGTCGGCGGCTCCAGAGCTTTGTCTGCAGATAGTCAAAGATAGGAACGTACGGGGACCTGAGGATGTAATGCGGGATGCACCAGCGTCGCATGTTGCAGGGTCCCAGGTAATTCACCAGCTGCTGAATAAGCTAGAGGATGATGCCACAGTTCTGGACCACTCGGGAAGAATGGGCTTCCTAGGGCTGTAAAACATAATTTATTCATATTACTCCACCATGTTTAGCACTCAATCAATTCATTTTTTATCACTTGTAAAATTTCCAATCGCACTTTCTGCCCAATGCCCATAAAAAATACATTTTCAAATATTTAAAAATTACAGAATTTAACAGAATTTAACTATTCTGTAAAATGCTATTTTTTGCCTCTTCTTTTTCTATTTTATTAAAAAAGGAAATTTTCCCATTTAAAAACAAATCGAATTGTTGGGGGAGATTTGAAAATGAATTTTCTCTCGGTGATTAAATTATGGAGTTTAAATTTAGTTTGAGAACATAGCATCAACTGACGTTTCTGAATTTTGCAAATCAAATATCAGTAGAGGAGTAACTGTCTCGCTTTAATTATGTCGGGGAAAATGATATTCCATTTTTGTCACAATGAAAAAGACTCCAAGGGAAATTAAACGATAAAACATGAGAGAGAGAGAGTGAAAGAGCACTGGGGAGGAAAAAGTGGAAAATGTTGGAAATTTTACAACTCTATAAACTAGACGATTTATATAAAGTTTCGAAACCTATTTCTCCTATTATAGATGTGACAAATTTCAATTGAAATTTACGACAATCTTTATTGACGAGTGGTTTCTAAATTCCGAGAGTTGAAATTTATTCTTTTCCAAACTTTATAAGATCTGTCATTGAAACTAATTTTTTGTCTTTACTAAACAGTTTGTTTTAAATTCTAAATTTTTCAAGTTTAAAATTCTTTTTTTTTATCGCGACTTGAAAATTATTCGGTAAAATCGCAAAACATAAAAATTCAAAAGGTCATTAAATGAAAATGAACCTTTTATTATGCAATTTGTAAAGTAGATTTCCTGGTGATTCGATTCTTATAAATAATAGAGGAGCTGAGAAAAATATTTAAATAACTGACCCAGTTTCAGAGCGATCGTTACTTACAGATATCATTATTCAATGTCTTTATACATTTCAAGTAGTAACAAAAAATAAAAACTTTTTTCAAGTGCAATATTCACAACTTTCACATATATATACATTATTGTAGAAAAATTTTTTTAAAATGTCCTACTTGCTGTAGTACAACTGTGTCATTGAAATGGACATTAATGGGTTTTTTATACTATTTTGCAGATTACATTCTTAGATTAGATGAAGGATTGAGTTGTTTCAAAATTACACTGCAATTAACATAAATATTTTTTTCCATCACGCGTATTCTGGAAAATGGTTTAAGAAAAAATTTTCTCTGTAAAAGAATTATTTTTGGTGATTTTTCGAGTAAAAAGAAAATTTCGACAAAAAATAAAAGACTGTTAGATAATTTTCTTTAGAGTCTAAAAATTTGATTGCGGTAATTAAAAACGAATTTTTCCATATCCCCTAAAGTATGAAAAATGTTAGAGTTTGAAGAATCGATTTTCTTCAAATGTTCGACTGGTTTCTAGGAAAAATTATTCGTTGCGTGACGAAAAAGAAAAACAAACGGAAAAAAAGCCTGCAGTAAATAGCATGTCATCAGACTATCTTTAAGATCACATTAGAGCTTTTGTGTAATATACACATATAAAAAAGAACTAATTCAATCGTCAACACGATAATGAAAATATTTCCCTCCCCTTCGAGTCATATATAACCTTCTTGTTTAATCAATAAAATAATTTATCATTTAAACAATCATTTTGAATCTTTCTAGTCATAAAATTTTAAGTTGGCATTTTTTTACGTATAAGTATTGGACGAAAATGTCCGATGCCTCTGTAAAGTTGATGAAATAAAAAATAAGTTAAAAGATTCCAATTTTCATTTTGACAAGAATTGAAAAGCATCATCATTGTATTTTTTTTTCTTTTTGGTACTATTACTTTTTCCCCAATAAAATCTGATTGTAGGTTCGTGACAATCGAAAAGATTGGTATAAAAATCGAATGATACGTTATACCTCGAGTCAAACAAGATTTCATGCGAATAATTGAGATTGTGTGGCAAACCCATAGCGACGAAGCATTGAGTCTATGTCTATTATTGTATACACCTTTTTTGCCAGTTTAAGCTAGATGTCAATGTACTGGAAAATAATCTTCCAAATCCAATATTTCGAAGCCGATAGTGAAAGAATTGGGTTTCACAAAATCAAGAGAGACAAAGCAATTAGGAGTATCATCTCTGCTTTTGTTATTTCGTCAAATTCGACTTACAATAACTCAGGGTTGTTATGATTTAAATCATGACTTAAATCAGGACTTAAATCAGAATTTAAATCAAAGACATGTTTCCATTTTAATCATAATTAAAATCAAATTTTATAATTAAAAATAGCTTTTTTTAATCAACTTTGCTACTTAATGAAGAATCCAACAAAGAACTTGAAGGAAATGGAACGTACTCGATAATAAATTTTGTAAAAAAGCAAAAAGTAACTTTAAGACTGATAGAAGTACTAAAAAACTTACTATATCGAAAAATTAAACTTCACGATTATTTTTACACAATTTCTAAATTAAATTACATTTAAAAACTGAATAATATGCTTTTTAAATAAATATTTAAATTCCTATTTATTTTTCCACAGAAATTAAAATATTTTAAATGATTTTGACTGAAATTCTATTTTTAAATCAATTCTTATTAGAAAGATCTACGAGCATTCAATTATTTAGATAAGAAGTAAATAACTTGAATTCTTTTTTAAATAATTTTAATAAAATTTTTAAGAATAATTGAATTTTTCGAGGAAATTAATTAAAATTGTATTAAAAAGAATTGAATTCCTGCTAAAATTCAATTATTTTATGAAAATAATTGAATAATTATTTATTTACATTATTTTATAAAAATAATTGAATTCTTTTAACGAATTTTATTATTTATAAAAAGAGTTGAATTCTTGAGAAGAATTTTATTATTTATAAAAATAATTGAATACTTGCGAAAAGAATATTAATAAAATTTTTAAGAATAATTTAATTTTTCGAAAAATATATTTAAAATTGGATTGAAAAAATTCAATTTTTGCAAAAATCCTATAATTTATGAAAATAATTGATTCCCGAGAAGAATTTTCTTATATTTATAAAAAGAATTGAATTCTTGAGAAGAATTCCTGTAAAAATTTTGTTATTTATAAAAATAATTGAATTCTTGAAACAAATTTTATTAAAATTTTTAATAATAATTAAATTTTTCGACGAATTTTATAAAAAAATTTTAAATAATTCATTATTTTTACAAAAATATTTTTGAAAATTGTGTTTTAAATAATTAAATTCTTGTAAAAATTTGATTATTTATGAAAATAATTGAATTCTTGAAACGAATTATATGAAAATCTTTAATAATAATTGGAATATTGTGACGAACTTTATAAAAAACTTTTTAAATAATTAATGTTTTCAAAAAATTTGATGAAAATTGTGTTTTAAATAATTGAATTCTAGTAAAAACTTTATTATTTATAAAAAATAATTGAATTTTTACGAAGAACGAAGATTTTCTGAAAAAAATTTTATAAAAACTTTTAAAAATAATTGAATTATTTGGAACAATTTTATTATTATTTATAAAAAAATTGAATTCTTATTGTAAATTATTTTACAGTTTACGAAAATAATTGAATTTGTTCGGAGAAATTTATCAAAATTTTCAAAAATAATTGAATAATTCAGAGGAATGTTATTATTTACAAAAATAATTGAATTTTTGCGAAGAATTTTATAAAAACTTTTGAAAATAATTGAATTGTTTGGAACAATTTTATTATTATTTATGAAAAATTGAATTCTTATTGTGAATAATTTGATTGTCTATAAAAATAATTAGATTTTAGTAAAGGATTTTATTAAAATCTTTCAAAATAATTGAATTCTTTTATAGAATTTTATTCAAATTTATAAAAATAATTGAATTCTTACGAATAATTGTATTATCTATGAAAATAATTGAATTTTTGCCATCAATTTTATTGGAATTTTTCGAAATAATTGATTTTCTGAAAGGAATTTTTTATTGATGAAAATAATTGATTTCTTACGAATAATTTTATTATCTATGAAAATAATTGAATTCTTGTAATGAATTTAATTAAAATTTTTAATAATATTTGAATTTTGCGAAGAATTTTATAAAAATCTTTTTAAATAATTGATTTTCTTTGGAAAAAATAAATTCTTTGAAAATTGTATTTCGAAGCGCAGAAGTTTCAGCCTTAAAAAATTACAATCAATTGTTCGATCGTGATCCTCAATTGATCATTATTTTCCATTGTCATCGCATCATTAATTTCCACTATAATTCAATTTTCAACAAATATGAATCCAAATCAAATCCTAAATCAATATTCTCATTATTAAAAATTAAAAATAATTTTCGATTTTAAAAATAAATTCTCTCATTTTTTATGAATAATTTGCAGAATTTTCGAAATGAAATCCGAGGTTGACTCTAATGTTTTATTGACAAAAGTATTTGTACTGTGAAGTTTGATGTGTTTGGTGCCTCGTAACAAGTGAACGAAGCGAATTTCTATTCCGAGGTATAGCAACACTGTGCACTTTATTGATTCAGGACTGACCTCTGATTCACACCACACACGTGGAAACTATACAGTAAAACAATACCAAGGAAAATTCTTCTCTTTAGAAATTTACCAATTCACCTATTTTAAAAATTTACCCCACCCGAAACACTGTTATTTTCCCCAACTGTTATTGTTTCACCATGTTATTAACTTCTGGTTTATTTGCGTTTTAATTTGTAACCGGAAACCACGCGAAAGTCATTTTAACACTTTGTGAAAGATAACAAAAAACAAAAAGGAAAATAAAAAATAAAAATGAAAAATGACCATTAAAGGGAAAAATAATGTATCTGTTTTTGAAAAAAATGTCATAATACAATTTTTATGTGAAAAAAGAAAATACATAAAAAAAATGAGATTGAACGATAAATAAACAATGTTTTCTTTCGTCCCAGTTTTTAATGCAATAAAAATCCTTTCTAATGGAATATTTTTCAGTGGAAACGCAATTTGCGACCTGTAATTTACGTAATGATAGATTTTTCCTATTCTCGCAGTGATTTTTCTATATAATTCCTTTCTGGATAATAAAAATTCAAATTCGAATATTACGAAACATGTAGGGAGAAAAAAAATGCTTTCAAGTTTTAAAAAAAAACTTCAACTCTTTGTCTAAATTTTTCTTTTAACCCACTTTTAAAAATAACTCTTTTCCAAGAAAACTTTTTCTGGCAGGTATTACCTAAATATGTTCCGAAAAACTTTTGGACGTTCAATTAAATGCAATTTTTTTCCAATCACTCTTTCAAATTTTCATAATCAAAACCTGTACCTAGTTTTTCATTCATTAAATATTTATAACAGTTTCGAAACTTATGAAAAGCAAAGAACTCAAAAATATCGTTAAATATCCTGTGAACTATTTAAAATTTTTGAAATATTCAGATTATTTATTTATTTCACAATTTGAAATAATCTTTTGCAGTATTTTCGAAAAGTTGATTCTATAAAGTCGAAAATGTTTTCAATTTATAATGTCGTAAATTTTTAAATTCTCTATAAGAGGACTTAAAATGATTTTTAAGTAGCTTGAATTATTTCGAGACTAAAATTTAAATATCGTAGGTACAATTGAAATGTTGTGAATTATATTATAAAATATGCGCGGTATTATGGAAAAGACACTGGAACTTAAACAGTAAAGTTGTCTCTCAATAGCCAAAGTTCCAGGGTATTTTAATTAAATAAATTGCATTTAACTTTCCCGTTTAATTTTTTAGGTACTTTCGGACAAAATTTTATTCCGATTTTTATAGAGTAGGATTCGCAATAAATTCTATAGAATTTTATATGTTTTTAATATTATTTTACATTTTCTGAACCTTAATTAGCAGTTTTCTAGTAATTAAAGAGTTTCATTTATAACGATTGCGGATTTATTTATGAATTAAATAGTTATGTTTCTTTAGTGATTTTTAGTAAAAAAACTAAATAGTAAAATATCTACTAATTCTGACAACGAAATGTTTTATTTTAGCCAAACCTAATTTATTTTAATGTAAAGATTTTTTTTTAATAATTTATTTTATTATAAATTATATTATAAATTATGTAAATTATTATAAATTTTATTTTAAATTATATAAATTATTATAAATTCTATTATTAATAATTTATTTTAGTTAAGTAAACATAGTTTTTCTGCAGATATCAAATTGAAACAAAAAACGAATCAAAACGTTGCATTTGATTCGTTTTTGTCTCAATTTGATATCAGCAGAAAAACTGTGAAAGTATATTAGTCACAGTAAAAGTATGTATTTTACTAAATTATTCATTTCTTTTAAATAAATAATTATTTAGGACAAATAAAATTTATCTGTAACAATTTTTTGTTACTAAAAAATTATTTAGTAAACTCTGAGAGTCAAATATTTTTTTTTTGGGCGTTCAAAAAGTAAAGTTTCACTATTTTAGTTGTCAGGTATTTTCTACTATTAAATTAGTAAAATCATTAACATTTAATTAGTAAACAAGTCCGCAATTTTTCTCTCCAAATCCAAATTAGTCGAAATTAACAAATTGTTAGTAAAATCTTTTCTGAAGGTTTGCATCAGCACTTAGTAAAAATAATTAATTATTAGCAAAATTTAATTCGTTTTTAATTAATTATTTTAGTTCTTTTTTAGTTAATTTAATTACTCTTTAAAATTGAATTAGTAAAAATATTTACTAATTTGAATTAGTGACTAATTTTTTGTTTTTAAATTAGTAAATTTTATCAATGAATTAGTAAAAATTACTGTTTATTAGTAAAATTTACTAGTTAAATTAGTAAATTTTTAATTCATTAGCAAATTTTACTAAGGAATTAGTAGAAATTACTTCTAATTAGTAAAATTGACTAATTTAAATAGTAACTTTTTAAATCATTAGTCAATTTTACTAATCTAATAGTAGAAGTTACTACTTATTAGTAAAATTTACGAATTCAAAAGGAAAAAGTTTTGAATCTATTTTTGAGTTAGCAAATTTTTAATTCATTAGTAAAAATTACTTTTTATTAGTAAAAATTACTATTTATTAGTAGATAATACTAATAAATTAGTGGAAATTACTACTTATTAGTAAAATTTACTAATTAAATTAGCAAATTTTTTATTCATTAGTAGAAATTACTACTTATTAGTAAAATTTGCTAATTAAATTAGCAAATTTTTAATTCATTAGTAGAAATTACTACTTATTAGTAAAATTTACTAATTAAAAATCAAATAGGTATTGAATTTTTTTTAATTAGTAGATATTATTAATAAATTAGTAGAAATGGCTATTTTCTAGTAGAAATTTCTACTTATTAGTAGAATTTAACTAATTAAATTAGTAGATTTTTAATTCATTAGTAGATTTTTTTAATGGATTAGTTGAAATTACTACTTAATAGTAAATGGAACTGTTTACATTAGTAAATTTTTAATTCTTTAGTAGAAATTACTATTTATTAGTAGAAATGACTACTTATTAGTCAAATTTGCTAATTAAAAAGGAAAAATTTTTTAAATCTTTTTGAATTTGTAAATTTTACTAATAAATTTGTAAAAATTACTATTTATTAGTAGAAATTACTACTTTTTAGTAAAGTTAAGGAATTAAATTAGTAAATTTTTAATTAATTAGTAGATAATACTACCTAACAGTAAAATTTGGTCAGTAAATTAGTAAATTTTTAATTTTTTAGTAAGTTTTTCTAATAAATTAGTAGAAATTACTACTTATTAGTAAAATTTACTAATTCAAAAGGAAAAGGTTTTAAATTTTTTTGAATTTGTAGATTTTACTAATGAATTTGTAAAATTACTATTTATTAGTAGAAATTACGATTTATAAGTAGAAATTACTTCTTATTAATAAAATTAAGTAATTAAATTAGTAAATTTGTAATGAATTAGTAGAAATTACTACTTATTAGTAAAATTTACTAATTCAAAAGGAAAAGGTTTTAAATTTTTTTTGAATTTCGAGATTTTACTAGTGAATTTGTAAAAATTATTATTTATTAATAGAAATTACTATTTACAATTAAAAAATACTACTTATTAGTAAAGTTGAGTAATTAAATTAGTAAATTTTTAATTAATTAATAGAAATTACTACTTAATAGTAAAATTTTCTAATTAAATTAGTAAATGTTTCTAATGTATTAGTAGAAATTACTACTTATTAGTAAAATTTACTAATTCAAAATGAAAAGTTTTTAAATCATTTTGAATTTGTAGATTTTACAAATAAATTTGTAGAAATTACTAATTATCAGTAAAATTTACTAACTCATAAGTAAAAATTCAGTCACTAGTTCAAATTAGTAAATATTTTTAACGAATTCAAATTTAGGAGTTAATTAGTAGAAAAATACTAATTCAGATTTATAATACACTGTAAAAAAATTTAAAAAGTAAATGGCATCGGGAGTAAAATTTAAAAAATCTACTCCAAAAGTTAGTCAAACTGGATAAATAGGAGTAAAAAAAAATTTATTATCAATTCCTTTGGGAGTTATTTAGCAATAACTTAAGATTTAAACTTTAAAGGAATTAATCCAGAGGAGTAAATTTTAACTCTAAATTCTCCCTTCGGTTCAACTCCAAAAAACTCCTCTCTTTTTCCACAGTGTAATATTATTAATAATGCATAAACAATATTGGATAATAAATTTACTTTTTCATCCTAAAAAAAGAAAAAAAAACAGGGTAAAATTCTATAGAATAAAAGTAGGGCAACAAAACTGACTCGGTCGTAAAATAAACGAAACGCGAGATTTCCATGTTTGAAAAATATAATGTCCCGCGCGTCGAGAACCGTTCGGCAGAATATATAGAATTTTTGAAATCGGTGCAGTTGGGGGTAAGGGGTGTAAATCGGGTGTAAATCGGGTGTAAGGGGGTAGCTGGGGGGTGAGAAAGAGGTAGTGAGAAAACGTACGTTTATTCAGCAAGTGAATTTTGTGGCGGTGCATACTTACGTCCAGTTAGAGGGTGCATCAGAGCGGGGTGCGAGGTGGCTGCTGCAGCGGCTGGTTGCTTGGGTTTGCTAACCTTTGTGTTACTTTTTGCAAATTCCAAACGTATGGTTTGTGGCATATCAGGATCGAATCTAACCCCCTGCTGCAAATAGATCCCTAAATTAGTAAACGGGGAGCACACGTGGAAATGTGGATAACTAGGTGGCTAAATGGAAAAAAGGAGAACTACCGTGCCCAAGCTCGTTACATTGTATAAAAGAACAAACATTTTTTTTTCGTTTCTTCAATTTTCTATTTTCTATATTTTTTTTATATTCTACAGAGAACAATGTTTTTCTAAACAAAAATTCAAGCAGTACTTCTAATTGGAATCTCTATTCTCTTGCAATGGGATTAGTACAGGATTGCTTGTCCTTGATCCACTTGCTCATACTTTTTTTCTTTTGCATTCTTTTCAAAATTATACCGTGTACTTTAAAAAAATTTTAAATTTATGTTATGTTATGGTTTAAATCAACTTGACTAAAATCATCATTTAGATCAGGATTTAAATCAAATTTTTACTAAAAAATAGCTTTTTTTAATAAAATAAGGCAAATCATTTTTTAATCTGTAATATTTTAAAGAGCTTTTAAAGCTTTTTTAATAAATTTTTCACTCAAGGAAGAATCCAAAAAAGAATCTGAAAGAATTGGATCAAAAGATAAAATTAAAGTTACCAACGTTTAAAAATTAAACAAAAAAAACAAACCTCGATAATAAATTATTAAATAAAATAAATAATAAATAAATAAAATAATAAATAAATAGTAAATAAAATTCTTTAAATTTAGGAAAAAGTAGCTTTAAAGCTAAAAAAAGTAGCTATGGAATAATTAAACTCGACGACTCAATTTTTTTATAATTTCTAAAAACTATAACTATAACTCTTCTAATATTCAATTATTATATAAAATTTTAGCAGAAATTCAATTTTAAATCAATTCTTATCAGAAAGTTCTAGGAGAATTCAATTATTTAGATGCAAAATAAATAATTTATTGAATAATTAAATATTTTTTAAAACTGATTTTTTATAAAGAGCTTTATCATAATTTTTGAAAATAATTGAATTGTAACGAAGAATTCTATTAAAATTTTTAAAAATTTATTGAATTCATTCGAGGAATTATAATAAAATATTAAAGAATTTTTCGAGGAATTCTGTTATAATTGTATTAAAAATAATTGAATTCCAGAAAATAATTTTATTATTCATAAAAAGAATTGAATTCCTCAGAATTCAGAATTTTTTAAAAATCTTTTTAAATAATTGAATTTCTTCGAAGAATTTTATAAATGATTTGTTTTAAATAATAGAATATTCCTGTAAAAACTTTATTATTTACAAAAATAATTGAATTTTTTAAACGAATTTTATTAAGGTATTTGTCGCGCGACTGGTCACTCTCAAAAGTTTGTATCCGTTGACTGTACTTATGAAACGATTATGAATGCGAGTTTCCGAAAAACTTTTGCGGACGTACAGTTTGACACACAGATGTTCTCAATGTATATTCATAACCTCTCGCATGAAAAACGATCGTGGCAACGTCGCAAGTTTGGCGTATGGCCGTCTTTAAAATTTCGCGCCAAAAGTAGCAGACAAGCTGTAGTATTTAACAAGCGCTATTGCCACGTTTACGAATTCACCTGTCATTTACAGTAAATGTTAAAATAATTTTTCAAGTTTGATGTTAAATATCTTTTAAACGAGACGGTGAAAAATTTTCATTTTTTTTATAAAAGTTCATTTTGGTTCTATAAATAAAACTTTAGTTTTTCTAAAAAATCTGTCGATTAGTATAAGTGCAAAAATTAAAAATCTGTGGTTTTCATTTGGTTTTCCTATACCGTACATGTTAAAAATCGAAACTTTGATTTCATTTTTTGAGACTTACAGACGGTCAATTTTATTTTAATAGGCCTTATTTTGTAGATAAATATCCAAAGAATAATTATGTGAAATTTAAAAAAATTCTGTCGAAAACGAATTTACGCGACAAATACCTTAAAGTTTTTAAAAATAATTGAATCTTGGGACAAATTTTATAAAAATCCTTTAAAATAATTCATTTTCTCAAAAAATTTTATAAAAATTGTATTTTAAATAATTGAATTTCTAAGAAGAATTTTATTATTCAAAAAATAATTGAAATCTTAAAAAAAAATTTATTATTTACAAAAAGAATTGAATTCCTGAGAAAAATTTTATTATTAAAAAAATAATTGAAATCTTAAACAAAAATTTATTATTTACTAAAAGAATTGAATTCCTGAGAAAAATTTTATTATTTATAAAAATAATTGAATTCTTGCGAAGAATTTTATAAAAATCATTTTAAATAATTGTATTTTTCGAGGAATTCATTTCAAATTGTATTAAAAATAATAGATTTCCTGTAAAAAATTTTATTATTTATAAAAATAATTGAATTTTTTAACGAATTTTACTAAAGTTTTTAAAAATAATTGAATCTTGGGACAAATTTTATAAAAATCCTTTAAAATAATTTATTTTTTTCAAAAATTTTATGAAAATTTTATTTTAAATAATTGAATTTCCGAGAAGAATTTTATTATTCAAAAAATAATTGAATTCTTGGAACGTATTTTATGAAAATTTTTAAGAACAATTGAAATCTTGAAAGGAATTTTATTATTTATAAAAATAATTGAAATTTTGAAAAGAATTTTATTATTTATAAAAATAATTGAAATTTTGAAAGGAATTTTATTATTTATAAAAATAATTGAAATTTTGAAAAGAATTTTATTATTTATAAAAATAATTGAAATTTTGAAAGGAATTTTATTATTTATAAAAATAATTGAAATTTTGAAAAGAATTTTATTATTTATAAAAATAATTGAAATGTTGAAAAGAATTTTATTATTTATAAAAATAATTGAATTCTTACGAAGAATTTTCAAAAAATCTTTTTAAACAATTGCATTTTTCGAGGAATTTATTTAAAATTGCATTAAAAATAATTGAATCCTAACAAAAAATTTTATTATTTATAGAAAGAATTTAATTCCTGAAAATAATTTTATTATTTATAAAAGTAATTGAATTTTTGCAAAGAATTTTATAAAAATCTTATTAATAATTGATTTTCTTCGAGATTTTATGAAAATTGTGTTAAGTAATTGAATTGCTTGAATTTTATTTAAATTGTTAGGAACTTAATTCTTTATTCTTCTACTAGTATCTACTCTTGTTTAAAGTTTACAATTCAAATAATAAAAAACTTAAAAAAAACCAACATAAATATATAAAAACTGTTAATTTAACAGAAGTTAATTCAATTATTTTTTCAACCGGTTCGATAAAATATTTTTTTTAAGAAAAATAAAAGTAGTTATTCTTTGTTGCCTCTATTATAGAATTAATTTTTTATTATCATTTCTAAAAAAATCAAGCTCCAGAAAAAATTTGATTTAAATAAAAAAAATCCGATTTAAATTAAAAAATCATGATTTTTAAAAGCTTTAATTATAATCAGAGCTTTTTTCTAAGGATATCAAATTGAGACAAAAAAACATCAAAATAGTTGCAAAGTAACATTTTGATACCTTTTTTTCGTCTCAATTTCGACATTCTCAGAAAAACTGTTGATTTTCGATTATCAAGTATAATTATTAATTTAACGTTACGTGCTTAGAGACAATATAAACTCATCTATGCATATCCACGTACAAAAGTTACTCTTTTGAATTTATCGAAAATTCAATTTTATTGTGAATGATACAATTGACGAGTGGGGCACGTGGTCCAATAATTTTTAGCGTGAGCGAGTGTGTCATCCGACAAAAGGATGTTTGTAGAATGCAGGGATACTGTTGCTGTCATTGTTGTTGTCTTTACACTGAAAAAAATCCCGAGTAATTTACCCACTTTTTTACTGTTACTCTAGTTCTGTTAGTTCAACTATTTTTTTCAAAAGTTAATAATTAGTTTGCTTTTTAAAAAAATCAATTGTACTGCTCTATTCAATGTTTGTTGTAGTTTTCAGTTAATAAAAATATTTCATACTTTGCAATCATTTTGCTTTTTGGATAAATAAACTATTTTCGGGTTTTTTTCCGTGACAATAAATTAGAAAAAAAATATTGCGAAATTAAATTAAATGTTATTAATTTTTTCTTCAATGAGTCGATGATAGTTGATTGCAACTGAAAATCAGTTGAGAAACGATTGTAAAATTGACTGGGGATTTTTTTCAGTTTTTCTCTCAGTGTAGTAAAAAGTACTGTTTGAACATAATTTTTCATTTTGTTTTTGTTTTTGTCTCTTCAATAAAAGGATGTACATTTTTGCATTGCGTGAAGTCAGTTGCGTGGTGAGGTAGAAAATAAAAAATTTAACAAGGTGTGATGCGCTCTCAAAGGCACGAAACAACACCATATCGAGAAATGTTACACACGGTGCAACCAGCAAGAACAATCGAAACAAGGGATTTGTCGATTTTCATCAAAATAAAATAACTTGAGCCTAAAATTTAAAAAAAAAAGAAAAAATTATACTGATTGTCAAAGCAAAAATTAAGAGAAACAGTTAAAATTTTTACAAAAGAAAAAGAAATTTTTTTTTTGTTTATTCTTCCACGAGACGTGAGTATTTATTTGTTTTTGAAATCGAAAAAATGTTCTCCTTCGGAATAACACAAAACAATTAACCTTTTCATTTGGAAAAAAAGGCAGCACTTTAGTCCTTGTTTATTTAAATTAAAAAGTTGGTTAACAAATTTTCCTCTGAATAATGAACACTTTTGTAAAATGTTAGTAAGCGAAGATTGCAGAATAGTGAATTTAACTCAACTTCTAGTTAACGTTGCAGCATTAATTAACACAGTCGACATAGAACAACCCGCCGTCCACAGAATTTTCCTCTTCGAGCTATAAACTGTTCAGAATATAATTGGACGGTTGCAGACTTGCATTCTGATACAACACTTTCATTTAGTTAGTAAAAGTTTGTTTTCATAATAAACTATAATGAAAATACAAAAATATATAAACAATACACATCATTCAATTGTAAAAGATTCAGTTTTTCATTTTTTTTATGATTCTGTTGATGATTCCTTCTTGAAAAAAAATAATTTATTGAATAATTGAATGTTTCTTAAAATTCAATTCTCATAAGGAATTTTATCAACAAATTTTTAAATAATTAAATTCTTTGGAAGAATTTAAATAAATTTTGTGGGAATACTTACAATTTCGAGAAATTCGATAAAAATTCTATTAAAAAGTATTACAATTCTACGGCGAGTTTTATTATTTATGAAAATAATTGAATCCCTATCAAAATTTTTGAAAATAATTGAATTCTTTCGGAGAATTATAATAAAAAATTTTAAGAATAATTGCATTTTTCGAGGAATTCATTTGAAATTGTATTAAAAATAATTGAAATCCTGCGATGAGTTTTGTTAGTTATAAAAATAATTGAATTCCTGAGAAGAATTTTATTATTTATAAAAAAAATTGATCGAAAAATATTATGAAAATTGTGTTCCAAATAATATTGAATTCCTCTGAAAAATTTTATTATTTATGACAATAATTGAATTGCTGCAATAATTTCTAACTTCTCCAAAATTAAATTTTAAAAAAAAATATTTTTATAACTAAAAATCTTCTTTAAATCCATTATTTATAATAATATTTGAATAAAATTCTTTGAGAATTTTCAAATTCATTTGTTTATAATTCAATTTTACAAAATTTCAATTATTCGGATATTCTTCAATTAAATATAGGATTAGAAAATAAAAACTTAAAAAAAAATAATTTCGAAAAAAATTCAAATAAACTTTTTCAACAAAATTTATTCTTTTACGGAATTGTTAGTTAAAAGAATTCAATTATTCAAATACAAAAACAAATAATTTATTAAATAATTGAATGTTTCTTAAAATTGAATTCTCATAAAGAATTTTATGAACAAATTTTTAAATAATTCAATTCTTTTGGCAAAATTAAATAAAATTTTTAAGAATATTTACATTTTTCGAGGAATTTGATTAAATTTGTATTAAAAATAATTGAAATTCTGCAATGAGTTTTATTATTTATGAAAATAATTGAATTCCTAAAAAGAATTTTTAAATTTACAAAAATAATTGAATCTCAGTAACAATCTTATTATTTATGAAAATAATTCAATTCCGGTGAAATTTTTATTATTCTTATAACGTATTTTATTAAAATTTTTGTGAAGAATTGAAATTTTAAAAAGAATTTTATTATTTAAAAAATAATTGAATTCTTGCGAATAGTTTTATAAAAATCTTTTTAAATAATTGATTTTCTTCGAAAAATTGTATAAAAATTTTGTTTTGAATAATTGAATTTCTACGAAAATTTTATTATTTTTAAAAATAATTGAATTCTTGCGAATAATTTTATAAAAATCTTTTTAAATAATTGATTTTCTTCGAGAAATTTTATGAAAATTGTGTTTTAAATAATTGAATGCCTGTGAAAATTTAATTATTTATAAAAATAATTGAATTTTTGTGAAGAATTTTAGAAAAATGTTTTTTATTATTATTTTAGAAAATTTTTTTAAAATAATAAATATTGAAAATCATTTAATTGATGAAAATTTTTGAAAATAATTAAAATGTTGTCAAGAATTTAAAAAAATTTTTTGAAAATAATTGAATTTCGGAAAAGAATTTGAATATTTCTAAAGATAATTGAAATTTTGACGAGAATTTTAAAAAAATTTCTGAAAACAATTCAATTTCTGCGAATATTTTTACTTCAAATGGTTAATAATTTGAAAACTAAAAATAACATTCGATAATTTTGGAAAATTATCTAAAAGACCATTTGAAAATGGATAATAATTTGAAAACTAAAAATAAAATTCGATAAATTTTGAAAATGATCTAAAAGTGGTTTGAGAATCTTCTATTGAATCATTTATCGTGGGTGGAAAGTAAATTCTAATTAACTGTAATTAAAGGTAATGGAATTTTTTTTCCTCTGAAAGAATCATCTCACAGTGTATTTCAGTTTCTCTTATCGAATATCCATAGAGGATAAAAATGGATGTATATTAAATGCAAGATTATCGACAAATCCCTTTTCTCGATGTTTCTGTATAGGATTGGTACGTAGAGGTACGGATATTGGCCTATTTATATTATGTATATAGAAAAGGTATTCAAAAAGTGTTGTACGGTTCTCCAAGATTTCAATATAAAAGCTACAGTTTGAGAGAAAAAAAAACTATGAGAAAGAGAAAAAACTATGTAACATTAACCCGTGCCAGCTGGTAGTAAGTCAGAATGGAATATGTTTTGGTTGGATTAAAGAAAAAAACAAAGAGATAGAGAGAAAAACAGATGAAAAAGATAGATTAAAAGAAGAGAGAAATAGAGAGAGAAAGAGAGGTAGAAGAATTCGCGTGTCCTTCTAATTCCGAAGTTCGGCACGACTTTCCGTTCTCGGTTCACTCGTTATTATTATCATTTTTTTTTCATTTTTTTTTTTTTTTGTCTATTTCGCGAAACGGGGTATTACCTGTAAGTCTTGTTTCGCAGCCTCCGCACCTGCCCTCGTGTGAAAAGTCACGAAGCCCACCGGCTGAAATTTTAAAAATTAAATAAATTTTAGATTAATTTTTAGGAACATTATTATTTCTGGAAGCATGACTGTTATGATTTAAATCAGGATTTAAATCAAAGACATGTTTCCATTTTAAATCATGTTAAGTCAAATTTTTACTTAAACACAAGCTTTTTAAGCAGCTTTTGATTCAACTCGACAACAATTTTATTATTTTTTCTAAATTAAAGTAATTTATAGAATATCTATTTTTAAAAAAATATTTAAATACCAATTTATTTTTCTACAGGAATTAAAATATTTTAAATGATTTCAATGTAAATCCTTTTTGAAATTTAACTATTTCAAAAATTACAACAAAATTCAATTATGTCTTAGAATTTTTAGATAAAATTATTAAAAACATTAATTACTTATTATTAAAAATAAAATTTTTTTTAAAAATTTAATTTTTTTTTATTAAATTTACAGTTTTACTAAAAAATAAATTTTCAAAGATTTCAATTGAAAATATTTGTTGAAACTTAATTATTTTTAAAAAAAATTCACAGTATAACGCTTCTAATGTTCAATTCATACATGAAATTTTAATGGAATTTCAATTTTAAATAAATTTTTATTACAAAATTGTACGAGAATTCAATTTTTAAATACGAAACTAAATAATTTATTCAATAATTAAATATTTCCTGAAACTGACTTTTCATAAAAAGCTATTATATCAAAATTTTTGTAAATAATTGAATTATTACGAAAAATATTATTAAAATTTTTTAAAAATAATTGAATTCTTCCGAATAATTTTAAATAAAACTTTTGAGAATAATTGCATTTTTCGAGGAATTTATTTAAAATTGTATTAACAAAAACTGAAATCCTGTAAAAATTTTATTATTTATGAAAATAATTGAATTCCTGAGAAAAATTTTATTATTTATAAAAAGAATTGAATTCCTGAAAAGAATATTATTATTTATAAAAATAATTGATTTTATTCGAAGAATTTTATGAAAGATTTGTTTTGAATAATTTAATTCCTGTGAAAATTTTATTATTTATGAAAATAATTGAATTCTTTCAACGAATTTTATTAAAGAATTTTTAAAAAATTGATTTTAAGAAAGTTTTGTTTTAAATAATTCTATTGCTGTCAATATTTTATTATTTATGTAAATAATTGAATTCTTTCAACGATTTTTATTAAAGTTTGTAAAACTAATTGAATCTTGCGACGAATTTTATAAAAATCTTTTAAAAAAATTGATTTTTCCAAAAATTGTATGAAAATTGTGTTTTAAATAATTGAATTCCAGAGAATTTTATTCAATAAATAATTGGATTCTTGAAAAGAATTTTATTATAATTTTTAAGAAAAATAGAAATTCTGCGATGAGTTTTATTATTTTTGAAAATAATTGAATTCTTGCAACGTATTTTATTAAAATTTTTATGAAGAATTGAAATCTTGAAAAGTTTTTATTATTTTAAAAAATTATTGAATTTTTGTGAAAAATTTTATAAAAATCTTTTTAAATAATTGATTTTCTTCGAAAAATTGTATGAAAATTGTGTTTTGAATAATTGAATTCCTGTAAAAATTTTATTATTTATAAAAATAATTGAATTCTTGCAAGGTATTGTATTAATATTTTTCAAAAGAATTGAATTCCTGAGAAGAATTGTATGATTTATAAAAATAATTGAATTCTTTTTGGAAATTTTTTATTAAAATACTAGATATTGAAAATAATTGAATTTAGAAAAGTATCAAATTTGTTTTGATTTTTTAAAAAAATTATGATTTTTAACAGCTCTGCCTGGAAGATTGTCAGCGATTGAATTGCTTTTCCAAAACTCTCAAAGAAAGGAAAAAATTTAATTTATCCTCTATTAAATTATTATCGTATTTTAATTTATTATTTATCATACGCTTTCAGTCGATAAATTGAAACTTCTTTGTGCTCGGGAAATTAGTTTTGTATAAAGAGTGAATGTATAGTTTTAAATTTCATTTAAGAAGCATTAATTTAGATAAAGGAAAAGAAAAGCCGTATTTCTTATTATTCAGAAAATTCAAATGATACGAGGAAAAGCAAACAGGTCGTGAACTGTTTCGTATTGATTTTTAGACTTGTACCTAACCGTGCCAGAGACCGCGAGGCCACAAATAAAAATCACATTAAAAAACTTGGTCACTGCATAATCTTTTTTCCCGGTACTCAACCCCAAAAAATTCCTTAAACATTTTTTTTAGCCTCTTAAAATCCTGGAAAAGCTTTCAGCAAAACGGCATAATTCTATTTTTTATTTTATTTTTTAAAAACTAGACCAAAATACACGAATTCTTCAGTTTCAATTTTAGTGGAATTTTCATCAAAAAAAAAATATAAAAGGTCATTCATACCGTCAACCAATTTGGAATTTTTAATTCCTTAATTGACAGCAGGGTAATATGAAAACAAGGAATTATTCTTATTCTCTTTTCTCCTGCATTTCCAGGAGGAAATATATAATTACTGCCCATTTAAGAGCTTTCTATTTTCTAAAAGATAAATAAGCTCTTTATGACATTTTAAAATTTACTCCTAATTGCGATGGCAAATGAAGTACTCACCGATGCCGTTTTTCCATTTTTATTTGTGACTTTTAAGAGTGAACCCTCATAACCCTGAAACAAAAATAATAAATTGTGATTAAAAAAAGCGCATATATTTATTTATTCACATATAAATAAACAACTAAAATAAAAAATAAAAAATTACAAGAAATTTCTTTATTTATTTAAAATTTCTTTTAAAATTCATTTGTATATTAATTTGAAATTAGTTTCAACATTTATTTACTTCTATTCATTAAAAATTTCTTTTAAAATTAAAAACTTTTAAATTTAAAATGAATACAAATTTATTTACAACTAGCGACATACAATTTGTACAAAAAGACAGAATGATAATTTAGAGAAGATTCTTGTAATTTTACACATAATATTAAGTTTACTGTTAATGAGCCATATACCAGGATGTAAATTAGTTTATTAAGTTAAAGCACAGAGCTTTCATTCCCGTTAATTAATGTACTTAACATCTATAATAAATACCTCTAAATACCCGATAATTTTCAAAGCACAATGCAAACAGTCAAATATCAAAAATATTTTCCAATCTTTTATGAAAATTTTATTATTTATAAAAATAATTGAATTTCTGTCAAGAATATTATTATTTGTAAAAATAATTGAATTTTTGTGAAGAATATTATAAAAATCTCATTGAATAATTGATTTTCTTTAAAATTTTATGAAAATTGTGTTAAATAATTGAATTTCTGTGGAAATTTTTTTATTTATAAAAATAATTAAATTCTTTCATAACGAATTTTATGAAAGTTTTTATAAATATAATTGAATCGTGTGACGAATTTTATAAAAATCTTTTAGAATAATTTATTTTTTCCAGAAATTTTATGAAAATTGTATTTTAAATAATTGAATTCCTATGAAAATTTTATTTTTTATAAAAATAATTAAATTCTTGCAACGTATTGTATTAAAATTTTTCTAAAGAATTGAATTTGTGAGAGGAATTTTATTATTTATAAAAAGAACTGAATGCTTGAAAAGAATATTATTATTTATAAAAATAATTGAATTTTTGTTAAGAATTTTATAAAAATGTTTTTTAATAATCAATTTTATCAAAGTTTTGTTTTAATTAATTCAATTCCTATCAAGATTTTATTATTTATGGAAATAATTGAATTCTTTCAATGAATTTTATTAAATTTCTTAATAATAATTGAATGTTGCGTCAAATTTTATTAATAATCCTTTAAATTAATTAATTTTTTTCAAAAATTTTATGAAAATTTTGTTTAAAATAATTGAATTTATAAGAATAATTTCATTATTCAAAAAATAAAAGAATTCTTGGAACGAATTTTATTAAAACTTGTAAGAAAAGTAGATATTCTGCAATGAGTTTTATTATTTTTCAAAATAATTGAATTCTTGCAACGTATTTTATTAAAATTTTTAAAAAGAATTGAAATTTTGAAAAGAATTTTATTATTTGTAAAAATAATTGAATTCTTACGAAGAATTTTATAAAAATTTCCGAAGAATTTCTTTAAATTTCGAGAAAATATTGTAGTTTTATTTTAAGAATTTTAATTGAAAATTTTGAAAATAATTGAAATTTAGAAAGAATTTTATCAAACATTTGATAATGATTGAATGTTTTAGAACATTTTAAAACATGGATTTTTTTTTACTTTAGAATGTATAAAAATAATTGAATTCTTAAAAAGAATGTTATTATTTATGAGAATAATTGAATTGTTACGAAGAATTACATTAAAATTTTTGAAAATAATTGAATGTTTTGAAAGGATTTTATTAAAAATTTTACAAACAATTGGATTCAATAGAAAAAAATTATACTAAAACGTTTAAATGTAATGAATTTTTCTTAAGAATTTAAAAAAAATAATTTCTAATGAATTAGATTAATTAAAAATTTAAGTATAACTGATAATTTGTCATTCTATTTAAAAGAAAAGGGGTTCTTGAAAGTTGTATAATATAAAAATAGTAATGTAATATTAATTAAAAAAAAGTATTTATAAAGCGACTACTTCTTGAGTTTACTCTTATTTAGTATTTTCATAAAACTTTTTTTTTCCTTGTACTTATTCATTTTAATATCTAGGCTCACGTTACTTGGGGTTTTGCGACCACACATTACGTATGAAAAATATCTATAACATATTCCGAGAATTTTATGCAGCCTATTCTTTACTTTAATTTTCGACTTTTTATTATTACCTAATTATTTACAACGAGTGGGTTTTTTCTTTTTTTTAAATATACACTAGTTTCACTAAATATATTTTTTAAAAATAAAATATAGGTACTAGTTTTGCTGAATATATTTTTATTTTACTAAATATTTAGTAATTTTTATTTTACTAAATATTTAGTAATTTTTAGTTTACCAAATATTTAGTAATTTTTAGTTTACCAAATATTTAGTAATTTTTAGTTTACCAAATATTTAGTAATTTTTAGTTTACCAAATATTTAGTAATTTTTAGTTTACCAAATATTTAGTAATTTTCAGTTTACCAAATAATTAGTAATTTTTAGTTTACTAAATATATATTAATATTTAGTAACTTCTTTTTAAATGTTTAATATTTAGACTATAAATATTATAAATAATTAAAAATTCATTTGGCTTTTAAAAAAATACCAGTTGCTCGCAGGTACATTTTGTGGATTGTCAGTGAGGTTTTGAAACTATATACATTATAATACTATATATTATAAAGTTTATGCTTTCATAAAATACGAAACGATAAGCAGCTTACGTTCGCATCGTATAAAAGCCAAAGATAAACGCAATGGAGTTACTTCTAAAGGGAAGGAAGTAAGTATTCTATCGATTCGCAAATATCCATAAATTTTAAACTATTCGCAGATTTGCATATTGTTCTTGCCTTTTTTAGATCGATATCAAATCTTCGACCGAAAGGTAATTTACCTGTAGAAAATGTACCTGCAAAATTACACAGATTTTCTTTTTCCATTTATTGCGCTTCGCAATACTTCGCAATATTCAATCTGAAATACATTTACTGATAATAAAAATTCGATGGGGGAAAAAAAGTTCCAATAAAAATTTTTACAAATTCTTCACCACTTTTAAATAAGGTAATAAAAAAAAAATTGAGACAAAAAGGAAAAAATTGTTGCATCGAAACAATTTTTTCTTTTTTGTCTCAATTTGAGAAATATTTGATAAATATTTGATTTGATATTAGATAAAACTGGGGTTTTTTTTAATAATAAATTAATATTTGCAATATTTTTATGTTCACTTGTCGCAAAAGGATTTTTTTTTAATATCTATTTGTAGTTTGAAAAAGAATAAATTCAATTCTTCTTTTATTTCTTGTCCTGTTGACATGAACCTTTTCTCCGTACGCTAAATAAATAATAAGTTAAGCCAAGTAGAAATGAAACAACTGAAAGAATAAAAAGAAAGCTCTGGATTTTATAGTTAAACAGTTGTAAGTATATATAATACTGGATTACATCTATTTGAAAAATGTCCTCCAAGTATTGAGTACCGTCTAGCAGTGTGATTATATGAAGCCTTTCAAAACTTTTGGCATCGAGGAGAAAATAAACTCTACGAATTCACGAAAAAAGTAAAAGAAAAACACATTTAAATTCATTAGCACTCAAAAATATGCTGTGAAAAAAGTTATCAAATTAAAACAATTTATAAAAATAGTGATAATAATCGAAATATTTCTGTCCTCATGAAAAGTTAGTGCTTTTGATTCCAAATTGTTTTCAAATAAATAAATAAATAAATAAAAAACAATCGATAACAATAAATAACAATAAATAACAATAAGTATTCAAACCATATTGTTACTCTAACTTCTTCGAAATTATTTTCATCATTTAAATTCAATTAATATTTTCTAGAATTTTTAACTACAATTCTTCTTTTATTATTAGATAAAAGTGCGAAAAATTTAGATTTCCAAAGATTTGAATTTGAACTCTTTTCAAAATTCAATTAATTCTAAAAATCCATGCTACTATGCTTTTGATATTAAATTATTATCTAAAATTAAAACTCAAATTCATTTTTAAATTAATTTTTATTAAATAATTCTTCGAGAATTCAATTTTTTAAATACAAATAAAATGAAAATAAATAATTTATTCAATAATTGAATGTTTCTTAAAATTGAATTTTCATAAAGAATTTAAATTCTGCAAAGATTTTTATTAAAATTTTTGAAAATGATGGAATTTATAATTTAGTATTTAATAATTGAATGTTTCTTAGAATTGAATTTTCAGAAAGAATTTAATCAACATATTTTTAAATAATTGAATTTTCTTGACAAATTTAAAAAAAAAATTTCAGAATAATTTTCATTTTTCGTGAACTTAATAAAAATTTGTACCAAAAATAATTGAAATTCTGCAAAGATTTTTATTAAAATTTTTTTAAATAATTGAATTTCGAAGAAAATTTTTATTATTTATAAAGATAATTGAAATTTTTATGAGAATTTTCGTAAATTTTGGAACATAATTAAAGAATTTTATAATAATTTTTGAAAATAATTGAAAACTTTTTGAAGAATTTTATTAAAACTTTTAAAAATACTTAAATTCCTGAGAAGAATTGAAATAATAATTTATAAAAATAATTGATTTTTAGAAAAGAAGTTTATTAAAATTTCTTCAAATAATTGATTTTATGGGGAGAATTTTCATGGAAAAATAAAAATGATTAAATATTTATTTAAAAATGAAGTTATTGGTGTTTTTGAATAATTTTATAATTAAGCTCCTCTTAAAACAAAAAAAAATTATTTCTATTATTAATATTAGCAATTATTATTATTAGTTATTATTATATTGAATTGTTTTCTTATTCTATTATACGATATAGACTACTTTCTCAATTACCTGATTAAATTGTTCCATAAAAATGTAATAGGAAAAAAATGTCAAATAAATGCGCAATTGGGGCATGGAAAAATAAATAAAATTACCGTATAAAAAAAAAAAAATAAATAAATAAAGAAATAAAATTACGGTATTAAAAATTGAAGAAAATTACCTTTGTAACTGGCATA